CCATGATTTAAATGGGTAATGACATTTGCCTGTGTGAAAGAGCATCTCGAAGGGTCAGTCCCTTGTACAGGCTATCCTGTACAACATGGGAATCGGGTACATAGGTCTTCCATGAAAGTTTCGGGCTAGATTCTGCTTAGTGTATGCAGTTTATGAGAACGTACATTTTTAGGGCCATAATGACTTAATGGTTGGCTCTTTGGTTGCCTTAATGTAATCAAGTGAGTATAAGATACTTCTGACTACAAAGCATTTGCTCGTGAAGTAAATCTTTGTCACTAGCAACTTTTTGTGACAATAAAACATTGTTTATGGGGGAAATAATGGATGAAGAAATAGAGAGCATGAATAAGACCCTTTTTTAAAATGTGGTCACTGAATTCTCATAGAGAAGGAACTATGTGCTAGTTTGAGAAAACATGAACATCTTTAAATTCAGTTGCTCTTTTCATACACTGGACCTTTATATTGCTTAGCAAAATAATAACAATATTTTTCTGCTTGAAATACAGCAGTCTATGAATTTACTGACTGAAGTAGGGATCAGTAGTATTCTGCTTAGTTACCAGTCCTGCTAAACTTATCTCACTTTGTGAGTTCCAGTATCCTTTTTTGGTGATGAATCACTGAGCCAGTATTTGATAGAGAGTGAGGCTAGTAAAACTGTCCCCCAAGTAAGCAAGCACTTGTATTATTTTTTGTCCCTGAAATAAGGGACATGTCCAGTGGTTCTATACCACTGCCACATGTGTTCCTTTGCACAGCGACAAATCAAATAGATTCACACTTTATTCTCCAAGCTCACAGAGGCAATGGGAAAAAAAGAATGGTTGGAATTTGCAATGCTATGTGTAGCAGCTCTGCTTCAGTGGGCGAAAATTTATGTGGGGTATTGGAGTTGGCAAAAGGGGTAGGGACAATAGAGAAACTGTGATGCATTTGATTGTGTAGCAGTAGAGAGGCCCCATCATTACCCACCATACCAGCCTTTCCTCATGACACCTTGGGATGCAGATGAATTAAAAGGGTGAGAGGAAGAAGGCACATGTTGCAGAACCATTGCCATCTTTAAAGACGCTGCCATCGAATTACATTTTCAGGCCATTTTGTTTTACTGCCTTCTGCAGTGTGGTGATTCCTATCCCAGCCATTTTTTCCTCTTGGTTGCCACACATTGAGAATGGTAACCTGAATGTCTGAGGCATCTCTGTATTTTTAATGGTTTGCAATGGGAAGCGCGTAACAGAGATGCATATGACTCATATTGAACTTGTGGCACAAACTTGGTCAAAATCCTGAAATCATCTATGGAAACACCATGGTATATCAAGAAAGAATGCCACTTTTTTACCAGCATCATATTCATTACAGAGAGACAGGCATCTCATTTACTGCTGCTTGTGTAGTAAAAGCCTGGTGTACAAATATGTTTGAGAATGCAGGTCATGGTTTTCAAATATATGAAATTCTAGTGGACATTTGAGAAAACATTCACAAGTCACAGTAATTTCATAGACTTTGTCCTTACTTGGTGTTACTAGCGTTCTATAATTTTAATCTTTTTGAAAAACGGTTGTCATGCAGCCAGGAAACCAAAATGATACCATTTGTGTTAAGTACTAATGGCGTGTCTACAGGCTACTGGACTACACATATTGAACAATAAAGATTAAAAATAGGGAACTCTGTTGATTCACTGTAGTTTCTACTTGATGTAATCCGCATTTTATGTTTAAGCTTGTCCTCACTGCTAAGAGGTGTTTTATTCTTTTTATCCTTTGGATAAGTAAGAGCAATCCTGATGCCAAAGCACAGTAAAGACTAGGCACTTAACTTTTTACTACAAGGTAAACCCATTGAGGTCAAACAGTAGTTCCACCCGGCATTGAACCCTGTAAGTTTACCTTGTGGTAAAACCTGAGTCTTCATTGTGCTTTTATCCTGGAATTGCTCCTGCACACCACAGTGCCTGCTCTTTATAATGCTTTTATCTTGTGACAGTTCATGGGAGTGCTACTGAGTGACGAAAAATGCTGCTTTTTTAGCAGTGGAGGCAAGTCCTTTGTTTCAGCATAGAAAACATGATTTCCATCCGCATAGACTTCAAAAGAAACAGTAGGAATTGTTGAGAGCCTGATTATCATGGCATAATCACATTATCAGAGAGATTAGAAGCACTTTACTGTGTCTTTATGGTTTAGTGACACTCTAAGGCACTGGACAAAATCTTCAAGTGCTGTTAAAATCTTTCTTGTAGGGCACTAAGGCAAAAGAGAGCTTTTTGCCTATAGGCCCTGAAATCACAGAGAACACGTTTAGTTCTTCTGTCAGAGAGCTGCAGAACCAATGTGTAGCTGCAGAATGTGTAGTTACTGGTCTTTACTGTCTCATCTAGATAGATTTCTCAAAGTGACCTGCAGCAGAGCAGAACAAAAGCCTCCTAAAATTTTAATTCCTATCAGTTCCAGTCATTGTGAAACACTGTCATTAGCCAGGCAATCAAACTAATTGAATACAGAAGTGTTAGCAATTCAAACAAGTGAGGAATTCACAGTGTGTTTTCTCTAGAAACTTTGGTGGACTTTTGGAAGCTGTTGTTTTTGTGGGTGGTAGCCAGCTATAACAGTAACGTGCCCGTTTTTAGGGTATGTCTCTCCACTGCTGTGTTGCCTTGAGGTAAACAGTCCACAACCCATCTCTTGTAAGTGAGATGTTGCCTGAAAGACTGAATAGCTTGTGACTATGGGAAATTAAAAAGTTAAAGCTGAGACTGAAAGTGAGAGCAAAGCATGTGATTTTCATAACTTGTTCCTTGTTGTGTACGGTTGCCAAGGACCACTGAAGATTTGGGCATTAATGTTATGATCTTATGGTTCACAATATAAAGGATTCCATTGATAATTAGCCCAGAGTGAAGAAAGCTAAAAATAATCAACAGAAAAGCCTTTTCAGATGGGAGTGTCTCATCTAGATAGATTTCTCAAAGTGACCTGCAGCAGAGCAGAACAAAAGCCTCCTAAAATTTTAATTCCTATCAGTTCCAGTCATTGTGAAACACTGTCATTAGCCAGGCAATCAAACTAATTGAATACAGAAGTGTTAGCAATTCAAACAAGTGAGGAATTCACAGTGTGTTTTCTCTAGAAACTTTGGTGGACTTTTGGAAGCTGTTGTTTTTGTGGGTGGTAGCCAGCTATAACAGTAACGTGCCCGTTTTTAGGGTATGTCTCTCCACTGCTGTGTTGCCTTGAGGTAAACAGTCCACAACCCATCTCTTGTAAGTGAGATGTTGCGTGTGAAAGACTGAATAGCTTGTGACTATGGGAAATTAAAAAGTTAAAGCTGAGACTGAAAGTGAGAGCAAAGCATGTGATTTTCATAACTTGTTCCTTGTTGTGTACGGTTGCCAAGGACCACTGAAGATTTGGGCATTAATGTTATGATCTTATGGTTCACAATATAAAGGATTCCATTGATAATTAGCCCAGAGTGAAGAAAGCTAAAAATAATCAACAGAAAAGCCTTTTCAGATGGGAGTCCGTGCCTCTGGAAGTGCACAGTATGGACAGTGTCTAGACAGAAAAGGTATGAAATACAAAACATGCACTTGACCTCAGTTAAAAGGCCAGGATGAAACAATCACAACAGAAAGAGTGACGCAGGGGAATTGCTGCACTTTAAAAGAAAACTGCCCCAGTAGTGAAGAAACATGGAATATGGGACAAAATGTTTTAGCCTAAACGGGTACTAAAAATGATCCTGGAAAAAGAATTTTTAAAGTCAGTTACAGTTTGTTTCACTTTTCTTGATTATTAACATGTAAAAATGCTTTTTAAAATTAACTGTAAAGTCTTTTATCTGCAAAGGCATGGAGTCAGGACTTTGTATGTCTCCAGCTGAGATTACTAAAACACTTGCAGCACGGAGCTGCATTCCTTCTGCTGTTTTAAGGAGTTGGGGAAATGGAAGGGAAACACACTACCGTGGACATGAGTGTAGAGGAGAGTTGAAAGGAGGAGGATTTTTTTTTTTTAACTTCCTCCTCCATTCTCTATCTTTTAATGTAAGGCTTGATTCTTTCATGGATAGCTTCACGTAATCCACTGACTGTCTTACCAGTAGAAAGCATAGCCCTAAACTGCCATTTTCTACTGATACTTTGGGACCTTAGGCTCTGTTGATCTCTTTCAGATTCTCTCAAAATGAACCAAATGCAAAGTACAAAAATGTTAACACAAAACTCTGTGTTAAGCATTCAGCTGCCAAGACACAGCTTCTGAGGCTAATAAAAAAACAGAGCACCTACAGCAAAATTTTTTAAACATTGGCTTGTTTCAGAAACAAGTACCAGGCTACTCTGCCCATCCATGTAGTGACAGAACAATGAAAGTTCATCAGTCACATATGAATCTCTGCAGTTGTAGAAAAGGCTGCCATCTTCGGGCAATGCTCAGTCATTGCACCCTTTTTGTGCTCGAGAAATCAAAATCCACACCCCGACTATAAGGTAACCAGGAGAGCACAGTGGAATCGATCCCTATCTTGAGCCAACTATTGTACTAGCCTCAAATACTCTAAAGTGTGCTTTCTGACTGCGTGTGACCCATGCACTTCTTGCATCTTTTGTGTTATCTTTTTGTTGTGCTTGATCTAAAGCATAAGCAAAATCTTTTTGCACTTTACAGCTTGGAAATAGAGATGCAAACTCAAGAAGCAGCAGCCAGTTTGATCTCAAAACACTGTTTTCTTCCCCTGTTCCTTCCTACAGCAATATGGGTAGTAATAAATCTTCCAGGAAAAAGGGGAGATTTCTTACTATTACTCATGACTTACCTGAAATAACCTCTAAAAACTCTTTATCTGAGAAGGTACAGGGAAAACTTTAGGATGTCCTAACTACCCTGAGAGGTATCGTATTGCATTAAAGATTGAGTTGGATAGAATAATTGTAAAGGAGTTTGTGAACATGATGCACTGAGTTATTTTTTGTTGTATATTAGGGTCGACCAGGACCGATTGGGCTTCAAGGACCAATAGGTGCACCTGGATTTACTGGCCCAGAAGGTTTGCCGGGAGCAAAAGGTGAGAGAGGAGCAGTGGGCCCCCCTGGACCAGCTGGACAGACAGGCGACAAGGTAGGCTCAACAGTGACTCTTCTGTCCCTGCAATAGATCTGTGGCCTTGTATATAAATATTTTATATTTGTATATAAAATATATTTTTGAATGAATAAAGATAATCTTGGACTATCTGCTCAGGGGTAAGAACACAACAGCATTTCATTAGTATCTTTAGAGAATCCCCTGCTTTTATTTTTGAATGAGAATACAGTTCCTAAAGCTGCTGAACATTGTAGCCGTCCTGGCAGATGAACCATAGCCAAACGAGTATTGCTGTTGCAAGTACTCTTTCACTTCACATGCCCGGGGATAGATGGGTGTTATTCACACTATGTTCAGAGAGACCTGGAGCTGGTTCCTGCGTAAAAGATCCTGAGTTGGTGACTAGAAAAGCAAAAGGAATGGGTACTAAATGAAACCTTCAATTCAGTTTTGCAGGTGCAAAGTTATTTATAACAGAAAGAATATTATAAACTATGTCATATTAAATGGAATAACCCATAAGGCATCAGTGTCAATGAATGCAGTGTGCAAGAATGGGCAGAACAGCAAACATAGAAATGTCTTAATGCCCTTAGGATCTGTTCTGCTGTCTCTTCTTAGGAAGTATCAAAAGGGGATTTTGAAGGTAGACAAAAGAATGAATGGAAGTATGAACAAATACTTTCAGTAATAAAGAGTGGATACACGTGGATAGTTCACCTTAAAGAAAGATTACATTGTGCACCAGGCATGTGTTCGCATCATGAGTTTTGGGTTGCATGCAGAGGACTCATTGAGTCCCACCGCATAGGCCAGAGCGGTGTATATGCTCCCACCACATAGCCTGACAGAGGTTATGTAATGGATTATAAAACGGGGAAGTCTGACATTGTCTGATGCAAGGACTGGGATGAGATTCCTACTCTCATGACTATGCGGCTGGACAAAAGGAATGTTTCAAGGACAACAGCTTGAAAGCTTAAAAGACAAAGGAAGTCCTGTGTGCCGTGCCTGGTTTCTAAAATCTGAAGGAAGCCTGGGACATCAGGACAAGGGCTCGCATTCTGGGTCTACCCCAGAGCATCTTACCAGTCTACTTGATGCAAGGCGCTCAGGTCATGTGCACAAATAAGAAAAAGACAGATAGTTTACGTACCAGGACCTGCAGAACAGAGTTTGTCTTCCATGTTTTCCCAGCTAGTGATAGGTGAGCTAGCTAGATGAAAACTAGCTCAATTATACTTTCACATGCTGCAGTCACACCCTCTTCTCATTTAATATTAGTCAACACACTGGAGTTCTAGTCACCCTTTCTCATAAGACACAGAACCAAGTAAACTGAAAACGATGACAATGAAAGTCATTGCTTCAGTGTTGCATTCATCTGAAAGGCAATGGAGGATTCAAAACAAGGACCGAGTGCTGATACGAATGATGGCATTTTCATAATTCTAGCAGATAACACTGAAACGATTAAACGTGGATTTTGGACAACACAGAAACCCAGGATAGGAACTGGCCTTTAACAATTGGAACCAATTTCCTTGCACTGAAAAAGCCCTTATTTACTCCAGAACTGCTGTTTCTATCCATTGAAATGGATACATATGCAATACCTACGTGCAATAAGATTCTATCTCTTTATCCCTCGTGGAAGCGATATACTTTACCTTTCCAAAGCAAGAGCAGTTTAGGCTGGATATTCTGCTTACACAGTCTGTTTTGCTACTATCCAGAGCAGAGCAGTAGAACCAACAAAGTGGTAATTACTTGCAACTCAGCCAGGGGTGGTCTGCGTATCTCTGGGTGGTGCTATCCAAGTATAGACAGAAAAACCCATAAGTCCTGTTGAAACTCTTGGAAGGTCAAGTGTGACACTGAGAGTTAAGTTTATACTGGATTGTTTATTTTCCTGGCATCTTGTTTTCCCCAGATGTGCAGTAGGAGATTATATTTTTACTTTAAATTGCCTGATTAAAACATTCCTGAAACACTCGTTTGGCATCCAGTCAAGCTCAGATACTCAGTTCCTATCTTCACGGACACCTGTGGTCAGAGAGAATCTGCATGAGATAGTTTGCTCCTTTTGGTTTTGAAAGCTAAAGTCCAAGACTGAAAATGTTGGAGTGAAAAGTATCTCACAGATAACTGAAATATACAGATTGATGAAGTGAAATATAATGTGTACTCTTTTTCTTCAGGGCCCAATGGGAGTTCCAGGATTTCAAGGCATAAACGGGATCCCAGTAAGTTTGCATATGTAAATATAAATCACCAGAATGTTAGTCACAACCAAAAGCACGTAAGCACAATGAGACTGTCCTAGCACACGCATAGTATATCCTGCAAGCGCTTGCTTCTCTCTGGAGGGAAATGGCAGTGTTTGTTAGCCTACCTGGTGATCCCATCCTGTTTTGTCAGAGGTTTGGATCCTATTATGGGATGATAGGAAGTTGATATGTATCAGGAAGTGAGCCTGAGTTACATGGGGATCCATTGCCTCATTGATAAGCTTTTTTTTCAGCACCATGTTCTCTCAGCACCATGTCTAGAAAACACCGTATCATAAAATCATAGACTTATGGAATTGAAAGGGACTTCAGTCAGTCAAACAGGCATGATCAGCTGTGCTTCAGACCATTTTTAGTATGTGTTTCCTAACCAATTCTTAAAACCTTGTAATGACAGAGACTTTAACTTCTCTGTTAGAAAAGCTTTGCTAATGCCTAACTTCAGTCTTTCTTTCTGCAGTTTAAACCTCTTAGTTCTCATCTTACTCATCATGGACACAGAGAGCAGATTGTTCCCTTTTACTTTGTAGTAGCCTTCTTGTATGTGATAACTGTTATCAGGTCTCCCTCAATCTTCTTTTGCTATAATGTGAATGGAAACAGTGATTAGAGCTGAGGCCCTCCAGAGAATCCTTGCTTCTCCACTAGATGCTAGTTCTGGTTTGGATGGGAACCTTTCAGAAACCTGAGACAGAAAAGAGATAATTGCTGCATTTTCCAGGTGATAGGGGTAGGTACCCACTTTCCCTGACCATCGGGAATTTTTTTGTTTTTTTAATTCTTTAGAACTTTAACATTCTAGTGACAGTTGTTTCCTTTACCATACAAAAAATTATGTGCCTAGAGTGTTTTGAGCAGCTTTCTTTTGCTTTGGTTTTCCCCAGTGATTTTTGCAAAGATGTCTTACAGACACTTTACCTCAGGGGAGTTTTAGCTGGGCCAGCTTTAGAAGTTGCCCCAAACTTCCTTGCTCTCTCTACGCTGTTTAGCTCATCCTGCTTTCTCCTTCTGGTATTAGAATTCTTTTTCTTTTCTTGATGACATTTTTCCATCTTCTGTATCCTTGCGCCTTCAGACTATACTCATGCTCTTTCTCATCTTCCCTACTTCCTCAGCTGGCCAAGAGCTCCAACAGTTGAGCTGTGTTTTCTTACTTCCTATCAAAAACTGAATTGTTTTGATAGATTGGCTGAAAATGCACAGTTGGCCCTGTAAATGAGCTTGCTTGACTCCAGTTCCTTCCTGGCCCTTGTCCTCTCCCCCTCTGCTCATCCTTGCCTGTTTTCTCTCCTGCTTTACTCCCTTGTTACTATTTTTTTCTTTTCCCACCAGCCAACTCTCTAGCTCTGAAGAGAACAAGCTGTTTCCATAATACTTAATTTAATTGAACACACTGTGGGAACATGCTGTTCTCAGGGTATTTTTTCAGATGAGGATCTGGAGAAAGGGGATTCCCAACAATGAGGGGAGGCAGAGATACAGCAACAGCCATTGCCAGGTAGTTGGCAGCAACAGGCATTCCAAGGAGAGAGTAGGGGAGGTAGATGAGAGGATTCAAAGCCTCCTGCATATGCAGATCTACTCTGTCTGCTTTACAGTATTCTGCAGGTGGGCGAATGGGAAAGAGGCAGATTTTGCTGCTCGTGAACAGCAGAGCTCACCGCTGTGGCTCTTCTGTGCCACAACTGCAGGACATAAAAAGGGGGAAGGGAAACTAGTTTGTACTGTTTACATTCTAGCCATTGAGATAAATACTTCCATTCTAGGTTGAAAATAGCAACCACCACTGCTTAAACAAATATTTATACTTTTGCCAGTTGCATTTCAGGATAGGGAGTAGCTTAGGTTTGTTGTGAAATGTATACAAACATATGCACATTATATGAATGTGTGAAATGCAGAGCAAAGGAGAGAGAGCATGTGTGCGCTGATACATGTAAGAGAGAAGTGAAAATATATTACTATCTCTGCACAGGAATTAACATCTAAATATGAGGAGAGATTCTTTGTAGTATGCAGGTATGTTAGCGTGGGCAGGTATATTTTAGTCGTGGCCAAAGGACTGTGATTCAGAGGGGAATCCCACTATTGACCTTAAGGGAAGCGGTGTTCCACAGAGTTCCCTTGAGGAATGCTGGTGGCAAGTAAATCATGTTGTTGCAGCTGGCCTGACTAATCCCTTTAACCTAGTAAATACAGCAGCTACATGTGTTTATTGCTAGCCTTTTGTGTCACACTGTAGAAGAAACCCTCAAATCCTTAGCCCTACTCAGGAAGCTTATTTTTTCCTATAGGACAAGACTCAAGGACATCTCCAGCAAAGGCTGGAACTGGAGCTGGGAGATGTATATAGCTTTCCATGAACTGTCCAAGGAGTTCTAGAAGGAAGTATTTCTAGGAGAAGTGAGCCCTTGTCTGTACTATGAAAGCTAGAGCTACAAGGAGAGGCAAGGTTCTCTATTCTGTGACCCTCCTAGAGGAAACACAAGCACTTGGCAATGGCTGTAAAAAGGCCAGTTTGCCGTAGCAACCCATGAAACTGCTTATTCAGTTAGTTTTGTGTTCACCCTTAATTGCATTTTTTTCCCTGTTTTTAAATATTTGTTGAGCTCTCCTGTTGGGATCGCCTTTGTGCTGTTGGATTTAGAAAGAGGCCCCTTAGGATCACAGTGTTAGTGTATGAACAAGAGTCAGATAAAGCAAGGGCCTAGATGAACAGTTCAAGTTTCCTTATCTGTCTCACAGGGAATGTGTCCTTTTGTGAGAACAGAGAGCACAAGTGATCTCTCCAGCCTGTGTTTTAACTCACGTCTGTAAACTAGTCACCCTGCCATGTATGAGTAAAGCCTGTAAAAGTCTTCTGCCTTAGTCAATTGAGGTGCTTGTGTTGAATTGGTACATCTACCAAAACAGGAATTAGAGGAGGTGAGAGCAGTGAAACTATTAACCACTATTTTTCAGATCAAAACAGCTCTTTAAATCAGTATTTTAAATCCCTGGGGAAAAGGTTCATTTAAGCCAGAACTTTACAACTCTCAAGGAAGTCAGTTATGGGTGCTCAGTATCTCCTCAGGTAAGGTTCTTAAAACAAAACATTGTGAACTCTGATAGCAGATTAGCTGGAAAGTAGTAAATCCTATGGATTTTTTTTCCTAAAGCAGAAGAGACAGCATGTGTATGTGTGTGCGTCTGTGCCAGTCTGTGTCATGCTTTGGCTCAGAACCACAGACATGGATGCCATGGGATTAAGTGACAGGGCCACAGATTTATTTAATTGAGAAATCACTGTCGTCAGCATACTTTATGTCCTCTCTTTGTGAGCCCTTCTCACATATTAAGAGGATACCAAAATCCTTTGGGCCACTTACAGACTGTGTTAGTCCAAGAGTTAGGAGATCTCACCCAAAGCGTTTCCCCAGACATGAGGCCACCAGTCAGCTGCCTGCCATGGGCTGGCTCTTGGCCAGCACTAAAGGCTTAGCAGCTTGGCTCCCTGTTGTCTAGCTCTGAGGGGCAGATGTTGGCTGTTCAGCTTCACTAAACCCTGCAGCTGGTCACCTTATGTTGTAACCAGATACATGTGCACTTGTCCCACATAGCTTCTGGTTTTGTTGATGCTGTAAACAAAGTGAAAGACCTGGTAGACATTGACCACTCGGGCCTCCCTCTGCAGTCCCAGCCTGTCCCGTCAGAGGCTTGCTGCTCTCAGCTATGACATCCCGCATGGATGGAGAAGGGTGGGTTGCCACTGATTTGTTCCAGCTTTGGGAACCAAATGAAATAATTTCTAAGAGACAAACACAAGTGGCAATAAAGTGGTGCTTCAGCCTTCTCCTGTCGCTTTACCAGGGCCTGGCAAGTCCCTGCTTGCACACCACATGTGGGTGTTTTGACAAACAGACTTTAATCATCACAACAACTGGTACTATGTATGCAGTGGTGCCTGATGCTAATGCTTTGGGATTACTTCATTCCATGTCCTGAGACCTTGTTTAATCTCAAATTTATACTTGTCTGGGTGAGCTGCCTTGATCCTGTAGTGGAGACACGCTTTACATTCAGTTTGCACATTATTGACTGACAGAGAGCAGATCTGGGCTCTCTCCCCTTCTCTCCATTTTGTTGGCACAAATCGCAATGCAGTTGCCGAATGAGCTGGACCAAGGAACTCACCTGGCTGAAAATTAACCCCATTAAGAAACAGAACAGTTATTTCTCTGCTGTGTTGGTTTCCTGCTCTGACTTGCCTATTCTGCCTGTGCTTATGCCAGCACAGGGAAGAGGTAGGTGTGAGTAAGCAGGAGTGTGCGATGGCCCTCCTGGCAGCAGCTGAGACCAGTGATCAGCTTGAGTATTTACATAATTATGGCCTAAGTTGCTCTGCATCCTTGGGAAAGTCACTCTGCTACTGTGTGCCCCCAGCTTCTCATCCAGAAAATGAAGATTATAGCATTCCCACATTTTTGCAAGGCATTTTAAGATCCTTAGATAACAGGCTTTACGTTATTGCAGAGTTCTCATTGAGTTTGGTCAGAGCATATGCTATTGGCTTGGACTGGGAAGACCTTTAGCAACACAAATGTGTTTTGTTTTAAATGTCAGGCATGAAGGATTGTTAATGTTCTGCTTTATCTCCATTTTATCCATGTTTATTTTTTTACTTTCCTAGTGTGAGTCATAACTTGTTTAATGCCATATCTTAAGGATGAATCTTTGGGATCAAACAAAAGTACTTTTGGGATGAGTCAAGATCAGGGTGTACAGAGGGGAGGGAGAGAACTGTCAGTTACTGATACTATCTCCATAAGTTTCTTTTTTCCTACTGCCACAAAACACTGTCTTTGAGCGCCACAGAACTCATTTCTATGAAAAGGAGGATAGAATAAGGAACTGCTTGAAACTTGGGTAGTGTGACTGGCAATTCTGCCTTTCTGTGTTTTGCCTACACATACCCATATGACACTGAAGAAAAAGTAACTAAAGTCTCAAACTTTGATCTCCTTTGCACCAGTACCATGCTGAGTAAACTCCAGTCAAATTAATAGAGCTATACCAGGCCAAAAGAAGTGTGAAATCAGAATTAGGTACAATTATATTCTACCCTGCTTGATTAATAGTTGACCATTACAAATACTTTCTTTTAAATGCTGTTAGTTTAATTAGGTCTTTCTCCCAGTTGCTTTGCCTAAGGTTTTAAGTTTAATATAACAAGAAAAACTGTTTTGCTTGAATGGCCTGATGTTGGAGCTGTAACATCTGTTGAACTATTAAAGGAAAGAATCCACACTGGAGAGGAAGAGAAGTCACTGAAACTTTAAGCAGATTGGAATTATAAATGCTCAGTATTGTTGAGTCTGCCTCTGCCCTTGTTTTTTACATGAGCAACTTCCATTCCTGGTGTCAGGTGCACCCTTGCGTGCTGTTTTACTGTGTTATATGCCATATATTTCAGACTGCTGTGGGATGAGTATTGCCCTTTTGGGACCTACTCATGCACAAGTTATGTACTTCAGAAAATTATCCCTTGGAGAAAAAGGTAGTTAAATGAATGCAGCTAATGTTCTAGGATTTAAGCTTTGGGGAGGATAAACAATGCTGGCCAAAGAAGCTAGTTCTGTTGCAGTTGCCATACACTGAACTTGAGTGGGAGTTGTGCGTTTCTTTTGTTTTGTGTTACCATTTGGAAGATATCAGTTTTCTGGGGACAGTATTACTAAAAAATAATGCATCCTGTCAGTCATTATCTCTTTTTTCCCTTTACACAGGGTCACCCTGGGCAATCTGGACCTAGAGGTCTGCCTGGCCTCGATGGCTGCAATGGTACCACTGGGAGTCCTGGCGTTTCTGGACCAGATGGGTTTCCTGGCCTACCTGGGCTGCCTGTACGTCCCAACTCAAATATGGTGTTTTGCAGTCACTAAGCCAGGATTTGCTTTTCATGCTGTTGTTGGAAAAGTAACACCCAAGTACTTAGGAAGAACCCTAATAACCCTGTTTATTAGCATTGTTAGAGCTCAGTATCATTTTCTTACTGAAATTCCACTCTGAGGATAAAATGAAGATCCTGTGAATTCAGTATGCTCCCACACCAAGTTATACCATTGTCACTGACAGTATTCAAGTTAACTCAGAAGAAACCATGATAAAGTTTTTAAGAACGATGAAGTGTCAAACATCTTCCACCTGGCATGTTTCAAGTTAGTGGATGCTGATTCAGGAAAGGAGATTATCCCATGTTCAAGTCTATGCATCAAATATTGGATGCTTTCCTTCAGGTTTTAAGATAGCCAAAAGCTTCAGTCTCACTGAGAGTCAATAGGATTTACTTTCCGGGGTATGTGTTTTGCTTGTGAAAACACTTTTCTACCAGGGTGGAGTTTTATCTAGCCTGCATTGGATGCCTTGAAGTTAGGTGTCGAATCTATTCATCTGGACTACCCTCTTACAGAGAGCGGTACTTGCGAGAGCACTTCTCCCCCTCTGCCTTTCAGTATGAATTGTCTTTGGAGATACCCATTTTCCTGCATTCACTGTAGAGGAAGTGAAGGTAGCTGGGTCACGCTCTACGCTCTTGTTTTAAGTGGGTAGGATTAATTATAAGAACTCCGCTCTTAGATGCTTTTGGGAATTATAGTCTTTTATAAAAGTACATGGTTATTTTTCAAGTGTAAGCAAAAAATATTTGTCTTGATATTAAAATATTTGACAAATATTTGAATACTTGTTTGCATTCGAAGCCTGATCTTACAAACACATGTCATGTAACTAATCGTACATGTAATGGAACTCCTTTGCACGTATACATGAAGAAGAGGAAGAAAATACAGCTGGTGGATATAAATAATGCCATTTGTTTCAGCATTTCTAAACTGTGCTAAGACATCTTTACCTGTCATCCAGACTTGAAATTCTTATGATGTTGAAAAATACTGAAGCAACAAGATGAAATTAAAGTACTGTTTTCTGAAGTAACTGATTTACTCATACCTGCTGCTCAAATTTCTATTTTGTAATGCTTGTAGGATTACATTTTTGGCAAGGAAAGCTGCTTGGATCAGCCAACCCCTCTCAAATTAAGTTGGCAATTAAATGAAATCACCTCAGATAAATTGGATGGGATGATCAAGATTAAAATAAATTTGGTAAACCTAGAATTATAATGGCAGCTTTTGCAGAAGATCCATGCAGCCTAGCAGTTTTTTCTCTCATTGATTCTAAACAAAATTTGGTGATTTACAGTGATAAACAAGAGAGAGAATCATAGAATGGTTTGGGTTGGAAGGGACCCTAAAGATCATCTAGTTCCAACCACCCTGCCCTGGGCAGGGACACCTTCCACTAGATCAGGTTGCTCAAAGCCTGGCCTTGAATGTTTCCAGGGAGGGGGCATCCACAACTTCTCTGGGCAACCTGGGCCAGTGTCTCACCACCCCCACAGTAAAGAATTTCTTCCTAATATCTGATCTAAATCTACCCTCTTTCAGTTTAAAACCATTACCCCTCGTCCTATCACTACACTCCCTGATAAAGAGTTCCTCCCCATCTTTCCTGTAGGCCGCCTTTAAGTGCTGGAAGATCTCTTTAAGATCTCCCCAGAGCCTTCTCTTCTCTAGGCTAAACAACCCCAACTCTCCGTCTGTCCTCATAGGGGAGGTGCTCCAGCCCCTCGATCATCTTTGTGGCCCTCCTCTGGACCTGCTCCAACAAGTCCGTGTCTTTCTTATGCTGGGGGCCCCAGAGCTGAACACAGTACTCGAGGTGGGGTCTCACCAGAGTGGAGTAGAGGGGCAGAGTCCCCTCCCTCGACCTGCTGGCCACGCTGCTTTTGATGCAGCCCAGGATATGGTTGGCTTTCCGGGCTGTGAGTGCACATTGCTGGCTCATGTCCAGCTTTTCATCCACCAGTACCCCCAGGTCCTTCTCAGCAGGGCTGCTGTCAATCCACTCATCACCCAGCCTGAATCCATGTTTGGGATTGCCCCAACTCAGGTGCAGGACCTTGCACGTGGCCTTATTGAACTTCATGAGGTTTGCATAGGCCCACCTCTCTAGCCTGTAAAGGTCCCTCTGGATGGCATGATATGAACAGGAGGATTACACCATGTCAAACAGACTCAAATAGGATCTTAAAAGGCCTAAAATAAAAGGGAAATCTAATATGAATGGGAGAATACCAGAGAAAATGTTTGCAGAACCTTGTTTTTCTAAAGCCGCAGGAAGTCTTAAGTTCTCATAATACCACAGCTTCTTTGACAAAGCTGCAGTGGTACTTTTGCAGTTTACTGGAGCCAGGAGTTTGCCTTGTTCATTATGCTGAATATAAATTCTTTCAAAACTAAATAAATTTTTTTTCCAGAAATTTATTTTTGACTTTTTTTTTTAATCAGGGTCATCCTGGCCCAAAAGGCCTTAAAGGAGAACCTGTTTTTGCTCAAGGCAGTCTTAAAGGAATGAAGGTAAGACTTGTCATCACATAGGAGAAAATGCAGTACAAGAAACACTTTGATGTCCTACAGGTTGCAGGGCTGATGCTGCAGGTTAGATTGCTCACTATGTTAGACATGGGTATCCTGGGTATGTCTGAATGCAGAGCTGTGAAAAAGGCCTTATAATAACTTCATTAATGACAACACCAAATACTCTCAGAACTTGGAATTGCTTGGTCTTTGCAGAGATCTGGTTCATCCCATACCGGGATGCTGGGACGTTGCTCATCCTGTTACTGTTCAGTGTAGCTGCTGGTCCCTCACTTGTCTCTGGAGAGCTAGAACCATTCATTTGTGGCGTCAAACCACGGATGTGAGGAATTTCTTGTAAGCTTATACTGACTTATATGAGGTAGCATAAGGGTTTTTAGATGCAGATGTAGCAAAGGAGGGGCCCTTCACCTACACTCGGAACTCTTCTGTAACTGACATCTTTGCATGTGCCAGGTCTGTTGAAATAACAGCTCAGGAAACTTGCAAGTGCATGTTAAGATTTCTACTGTGAGATCCCTGCTGCCTCCCAGTGTTTTTTATACTGGGAGGTACTAGTAAGTAATCAGTCATATTCTCGGTTTAAATACATGAATATCATATTCCACTCATAGTATTCCATCCTTTGCCGCTGTGGTCAGGCTTTTACTCTCTCTATTTAATAAGGACCTCGCCCTGAAATGTCTGTATCAAGTCTGTAATTTTATTTCGTGTACAGAAAATACAAACTATGGATAGACAATTTCAGTTTAGTGTTCAGAACAGTGAATAGGTTCCTGAATGTGCTCACGTAAAAGATTTGGTTCTTTGTTGCCTTGAAACAAACGCTCACCAGCTTACCATGGTTTTGATTTTTGCCAGAAGTACTAGGTTTGGAATAAATCTACAAAGGATTCAGTACCTCCTGTGGTACTGAATTCAGCAATATTTAGCAGCCTTATGCTTCATTAAATATTGAAAATACTAAGAAATTTATGCTGTCCTGTAAGGCCCCTCACACTGACTTTGTTGGTCAAAATTAAGAACTTTTCTAAAATTCTACCTGCATTATATACACTCATAAGTTGGTAAAAGTTAAATAGATCTTTATTTATTTACTTCATTATTTATGGGAAATACAGATAATTTGATATAATAATGATATGCTTTTACATAATGAAAGTTTTTTAATGAAATGAATGTTTTGTAATGAAAGTTTTTATATTGTCTTTTCCAGTGTTTTTACAATTAATACAAATTTTTTTTCATGCCACTTTCATTTCTCTTGTTACCCATAAATAAAATTGTTGTAATTTCTCCAGAGTTTTGGAATCTCTCCATTACACAATTTAAATATGGAAGCACAGGTGTGAAAATATATTCCCATCTACACTTGATCTAATATTAACTAACAGGAAATATTTCTATTTATACAAAACTTAACGTTCCCTATAGTTTGTTGCAATAACGTAGTATAATTTTTACTCATGCGTTTATAATTTTTAGGGAGAAAACGGTCTTCCTGGATTGGATGGAATTTCTGTAAGTTACTTAATTTGGGGAATAATGATTTTAAAGAATATTAAGTAGGTAATTTTTCTTGTATTGGTTCTCAAGGACACTTTTCAAATTAGCGGGCCATATATTTACACGTGTGATACCAGTAGCATGAGCAATTCCAGCCTTGTAATGGTGTGAGTGGATCCACATTATGGCAGAGGAAGTCAGATTTTTGCTATTATCTGTTCTGTTTTTCCTTTTTCAAATCAAACTCCTTTCTACCATTGAACTCTGTAACTTTGATTTTCAAAATACATCTAATAATATGAAATGGAGTGTTACAGTATTTAAATTGGCATATTTAATTAGGGATGTTACTTAATGTTTCCTCAGACTCACTTTGTCTTTGGTTGGGGTTTGATGGGGTAGGTGCTACACATTCTGTATTTGTCCTATGTTGTTCTTATAGGGCCCAAAAGGTTTTCCAGGTCCAATAGGTTCTGCAGGCCCTATAGGATTACCAGGTTTGCAGGTAAGAGACCTCAGCTGTTGAACTTCTTGATAGAACAGTTCAAAATGTTGGCAGTTTTCCCTCCTTGTCTGTACTTGTGTCATGACAATGAGGAGAAGTGTGTGTGCATCTAAAAGGACTGAGCACAGCTGCCTTCAAGCATAGAATACTCGAACTTAGATAGTTTAATCTAATCACAAGAGGGAAGGCTCCTCTCTGGAGCAGTGTTCAGAGCAGCAATCACGAATAAGCGCTATAGCAAAGCCCTAGAGTGCTGTCTACAAACATATATCACATACAATATAAAGATATAATAATATATCTTTAAGAAGATATATTATTCTGAGCACTTCTTCATCTCGGGACTAGAGGGAATATGCTGACCTTTGCATGTTTGGAGCCTTTGTCGTCATGAAATATGCTAAAGAGTTGCTTTTTCAAGATACTACAAGAGAGTTTCCACTGGGCAGAGGTAAAAACGAACTATGTGTTTGTTCCTTTTAAACTGAAGTTTGCTCTTAATTAACCACAGTACCAAAGGGCTATGCTGTCTATTATAGATGTGAAGACTTGAAGATCATGTGTATCAGTTACTTTTGCTTTGGGGCAAGAGGTGAAAGTTCAGGTACCACTGCAGATCCCAGCATTGCTCCAATTGTGTGCATCCTAATTAAGTCAAAAGAAATAAAGTCTTGATCTTCTTCACATTTAGGGTCCAATGGGTCCCCCTGGGCCACCGGGTCCAAAAGTAAGTACCTACCTTCCCTGTCTTCTTTCTACACCTGATTGTTGGCTTTTTTAACAGTGCTGTGGGCCTAGATGATAGTGATGCTGTTGTTGCTGTTGTTTTATTATTCATTCATCATTGTTTTTTCCTCTCCCAGGGTAACATGGGATTAGGCTTTCAAGGAGAGAAAGGAGAAAAGGTAGGTGAAACTTTTTCTGCTATTGAAAGAGCATGAAATAATACTCTGGTGTTCCATCATAGCTTGATCCTCTAGAAAGTGCTAGATTCTAGCATTTTCTTCTTTTCCTTTTTCTTTTCTTCTCTTGGACAGTCCAAGTACTAAAGAGTCTTGCTGGTTCCTTATCTGTTGGTACACAAAAAAAGGATGGGAGCTTTTTCTGGATGAAGAGGGGGAAGGGGAAAATCTCGATTCAGCGTGGTATTTTCATGGTTATCAAGACATAAGGTCCTTAGACATCTTTTGAATCTCTGTCTTTCAGTTTCTTTGGACCCTCACCTCTTGTATTGAATTATTCTACTGACTTCATGCTTTTTGAGTTTCATAATATTCTTTGGGTCAACCGATGTGTAATTTATAGTCTCACTATCCTAAATGGGTGTCCTGCAGTCTGTGTGAGAGTTTACACTGGCATAATGGGGCTTCTCAAAGTTCTCAATTTGGGACTTGATTCTGCTGCTGTTAAAATTGGTTCTCAGCATTCTACATTTCTAATTGTTTCTTGTCTTCTTTTTTTTCATATTTCTCCCCAAAGTTTTTCTGGAATGTTTTCCTGTTGATTCAAAATCTGAGCCTTTTTTTTTTTCCTTGCCGTGTTTTATATCCACAACTTTTCTGCAACAGATTTAATGCATTTTGTTCATCTTCATTTTCGGTGTGATCTTTTGACTTCCGTGACCAAACTCCTGTGCCAGCATTCAGGCACACAGATATTATGTACGTGGGATATAATTAGAGTGGCTTTTTTCTGATTCGCAAGCCATTTTCATAGGAAATCAAACATGTACTGCCTACATTAATAGCTTCCTCTTTTGCCAACAGGGCGATGTAGGGCTGCCTGGCCCTCCAGGTCCCCCACCATCCACTGGAATACTGGAATTCATGGGATTTCCAAAAGGGAAGCAAGGAGAAAAGGTCTGTGAATTCAGTTTACAAACCCTCCCCCTCCCCATGCTCCTTCATTCAAGGCTGAATGAAATTACTGGGCAGTGAAGGCTGTTATATTTCCAAATCAAAATCATTTTCTGTACTATTTTAATTTGTCAGATGGCTATTGAATAAAAATATTTTTAGCTCAGAGCATTGTGGACTGCTGGAGAACACATACCTCTCAGAAGGAGAAATCTGAAAGCTATTTAAAGGTTTTCATCATTAGTCCTAAAAATAAATGAACTGTAGTTTGTTTCTGTTTGACCTGTGAAATTGTGTCAACTGAAGCAAAAAAGGCAAAAACCTTTAGAAAAGTAAATAAAAAGCTCCAACTCTTTTGGTTTGGCTATGATGCACACTACTCTGAAATAATCAGGTTTCTCTCCTTTACTTTGTCATCCTGGCATTTACTGAGATACATATTTAGCTTATCAGTGTTTTTAGAAGAGCTGTATGGATCTTGAGTTAAAGATTCTCTACACACATGAAATTTAGGCATACTAAATTAATCTGGGACGTATACAGGCTGTTTGGGAGCCCAGTCTGAACTTGCCTAAGCCCCTGCATAAGTCATGAGAGATATTGTCTTACTTGGTGGAGTTACATTAGCGTGAGGTGAGATTCAAACAAACGCCATTCCTTTTGGCTCACTCTTGAATTTGTAAGCAGGATTGTGAAGACAGTATGCTATCTCATCATGTGTTATTTTGCTGCTTTCCATGTTCCAATTCCCTAGATGATGATACGAAATGCTTCTAGTTTGACTTCTAGCAGTGGAGGGCAGTAGAACAACAGTTCCCAAGTAGTGGTCTTTGAAGCCATGGGAAGTGGTCACAGACAATCTGTTGCATGCACCGGCCCTGTGCTGAGAGACACTCTGTCTGGCACATGATGACACAAATCAAGTATACTTGCTGACAAACAAATTACAAGGCCTTACTTTAGGAGTCAGGAGCATGATGGGTGGATTGGGGAAAGTCTTGCTTTCACAGGGACAGTGATTTATTGTGTTTACCACTTCACCTTGTCAGGGTGATCCTGGCCCTCAAGGATTCCCTGGAGACAAAGGATTGCCTGGCATACCGGTAAGGACAGAGGAGAGTTTGTAATGTATGCCTAATACGGGTTAGATGGTTCAACACCCTCTGAATAGCTCACAAGGTCTCTGCAGGAGTTTCTAGGCCCCAGAGTACTTTGAAAATCTGATTAAAATGTCCACAAGATTTCTTGAAGGCTGTAATTGTAATCTGGTCGGTTTTTGTCCTGGAGATAGAAAGAAGATAATGCTGTCCTACTAGAGACGTTACAAAGCAGCCATCATTTCAGTGCATGTAATCTGCAGTTTGCAGAGACCTGCCAGTAGACAAACCCTTTACAAGGCCACTTGATGGCAGTGTTTCTTGATGTCCCACAGAGAGCTAGACATACAGAAAAAGCCTCATTTTTTTCCTTTAATTATGTGTAAACATATTTTTTGTTATTTTACTTTAAAGTTGTAAAGCACATGCAGATCTTTCTGTCTGTCTATATACATCCAGTTTTAAAATGGGCTGTTTAACATCAGTGCTCATAAACTCAGGGATGCATAGCAGCATCTCTGTATGAATCAAGAGCAACAATTTATCCCTGGATTCCAGAGAGCTATTTCCCAGCTTATAACCTTTTGTAAACACAGGTTATTTCGATAAGTTTAGGGAATAAATATTTTGTGGAACTTCTGACTAATAAGATAAATTGTTTGCCGGTTTCTTCAACGTACAGATGTTCTTAGTAGAAAGACATGCAAGAAAAACCTGTACATGAAGCACAGTTTGTTATTAGCCTTTCTGGACTTGTTCCATTATGTCCATGTTTAGCTTTTTGCATCACAAGAGGCCCATTGAAGCTGGTGGGGTTGAACATATGTGTGAACTTAACCATAAGATATTACAAGATTGAAGCCTGAAAATCACTTAACTACTGTAACTCTCGCTAAAATTAAATCCTGGTGTTCTATCTCTGAATTTGATACTTCGTGCTGACTGGGAAAACCACCAAACATTTCCAAATGTTGAGCGTGCAAATGCTAGTTTTGTGTCATTCTTAGCTTTTAGAAATGAAAAAGGGTGCTCTGAGCACTCCCTTGAGCTGCTGCTGTAAAGAAATGAGATTTGAAATCATTTCTAAATGTAGAATACAATACAGAGTAGCAGTAGCAGGACTTTGCTCTTTATAACATGGGGTTACTTGCATTTGCTGCTAAGAGATGTGCCATGGTTTAAATGGATGGAAGTCAGGGGGAATGAAGAAGATAATGTACTGCACATACTGCCAAGTCTGGTTGATACAGGTTTTCTTTCTGGGGCAAAAGAGTCCCAGCAGAAACAGTCAGTTCCCCTTGCCTCTCTGTTGTACTGTTTATATTAATAGATGGATTTGTGCTCATTTTGTCTTAGGGCTGTGCTATTCAATTTCAAACAGATCACAGATTTAATGTTGACATTTTTCCTCAGGGCTTTGGAGGTGTTGGAGAAAAAGGAGAAAAAGGTGTACCTGGCTTACCGGGTGGCAGGGTAGGTAACTTTACGAAGTCCTTAAATGCCTATTCTCAAACACATGAACTGGCCTTTCATTAACCAGAAGCATTCCCAAAGCATGTAGGAGTCTCAGACATAGGACTGGGTCGCATAGTAGCCAGCGCCATACAACAACAGAACCAATAGATAGTTCTTATCTCAGTAAAGTCTCAGATTAAAGGTGAGATGAAAGATGTATACAGACAAGGCAGTCCAAGAAAATCATATGGAAGTATTTAGTGGAGGTCTTGATACTGCAGGGCCTGTGTTTTTCCAGGTTTTTTTAAAGCTTCACAGAAAAGGGAGCTTGCAGGAGGTCCAAATGAAGATAATAAAGAGGCCTTGCAGGGGCTTTAGGGAGCTTTTAACCAGTCCCAGAACCAGCCATGAGAGAACACAGATAGATATTTGGGGAAGAAATGGACAAGCTGGCAAGAGATGTTGGTCTAACTAGTCAATGAATGTGGGAGTTAACAGCATGCTCAGTCACACACCAGCCATAGATTCTTCAAACCACCATGACCCTGCAGAGACGTGCTTATACACGACAGGAAGATCAAGGCATTCTGTTCTGCGTGTGCAGAATAAATTGTCAAGATAGAAAGTCTTGATTGCATTAAGTTTCACGGCTTTATAATTACAAACTATTAACTTCCTGGTAAGTCGAGACACCATGACTTATTTAACTTGAACCGCTTGAAAGACAATGGCTAAAGAAGAGAAGACTTCTTTTATCAGTTATTTTGCTGAATTCTTTCAATTATGATCATTAATATTTGGGAGATATGGAAAATCAGTGGTAGCTTCTCCTTTGAAAGTTTTACCTTTTCATTCTTTGATGCTGATATATTTGGAGCCTGATAAAATAAGACCAGACTGAGATTGAGCCTCTGAAAGTCAGTGTTTTTTTGCTCTTCTAGGGTCTTTTGGGACTGGATGGATCTGATGGGATTCCAGGGAGAAAGGTGAAAATTTCTTTTTTTTTTTTACTGTACTTACAATTACAGAAGCCGTCTAACTGCTTAAGATCTACTGAATTCCTTATTTAGTGGCTCCCAGTTCTCTGATGGATGAATGCACCTGCCTTATTAAACTAGTGAGAGCTAACTAGAAAGTCTGCATAAAACTCTAGATCCTTTTAACTGTCTCTCTAGTTATCCCTACGTATTCAGAGGACAACCTCCACAGATTGGAAATTGTACATTCCCTCCTGGAACAATCAGCTCTCCCACTTTTCCCCTTTTGGGGGTGGAAATGGCCAGGTGATCAAGTGGCTGAAAACGTGTTAAAGCACGTCCACTTGCAGATACAGCAGTGGAACTTGTTCAAGAAAGCAACTTTCAGAAATACAATTTTCATTTTGCAGCCTGGAATTCAGTCACTTTCTTGTATCTTTCATTTTGTGTATGTCGTTTCAAGGTATACTGAAGGTGATGGTATCTCCAATATAATATAATTCATATCTATATGTTAAAATTATATGATTAAAAACAAGCCCTTTATGACAAGTTTCTCAACGATACTGTGCATGGGCTATATTGGGGCCTACAGCTGTCCAAGACTTCAGAATCACAGGCAAGGTCTAAAGTCAAGGTTCACTGCTCCAGAGCTCTTGGAATATCCCATTTTGTCTGCAGTGGCAGTGGGATTTGCAGTCCACACTGCGCCAGGTTGAATAAGTTACCCAATAAAGAACAGTAGATCACTTCTGTGTAGATTTCCAGTCTACAGAGGAAGGACAGTCTACACCAAATTCCAGAAGGGGAATTTTGCTGTCCCTGAGAACGCTAACAGGAAATGGATAGCTGGAGAGCTGGATCTCCTGGTGTCACTTTAAATGTTTTGGTGCCAATAATTTGTTAGAGGGGGAACAGAGTGGAGGGGAAGGTGTGGGCGACAAGGAAAGTATTGTTCTAGACTCCTCACTCCACAAGCATTTCTACAGTTCTGAGAGAACTCCAAGCTGTCCTCCTGATTTGGACACCCTCATGCCTGCTCACAAGTTCTCACCATCTTTACAGCACAAGGAGGCCTAAAGGAACTCTGGTATTTTGCGAGTGCTGAGAAGTTGATGCCATCAGTTTTCTCTTTTCTTTATTTCGTCTGCAAATGTTTGGCAGGACAATGAATTGGGTTTGTGATTCAAGTCCAGGCACTGCAGATGTCTCAGCTAACAAATAACGCCACTGTCTTATTGTCTCACTGTGTAACAATGTTCCCCTGTGTGACTTTGCAGGGTCATCCAGGTATTCCAGGCTATCCAGGACTGGATGGAGTCGATGGCATAAAGGTAACTTCTCACATGAAAATACTAAAGCATTGCTTTTTTAAAGATATTTGCATGAATAAATAAGTACCATTACCCCAGTCAAATCTCTTCTTTACTTCTGTATCACTGTAATTTTCAGTATATTTCAGTTCCTCATTTACTTTATTATTAAGGATAAAAATGAATGGTTGCTGAACTATGAACACTCAGGTATTTTAATACCTTTACAATGTTCATTCGTGTAACTTCATGACTTACAATTGTGGGTGTAGTCTCTCTGGTCTCCCTTATTCTTACACCAATGCCATATTTACTGGACAGCTGAGGCAAGATTAGATGTAAGTGGATGTTAAGATAGTTGCCAAAGCTACCTGAAGTCTTAGATCACAGATCTACAAGTATTGACAAGACTGAAAAGAATATGTTCAATTTCTCGTACTGGAGATAGGCAATGCGTAGCAGACATTTTCTGGGTATCTCACAACTTGGACAGTCAGGCCTCCGGAAACTGAGTGGAAAATGGTTGGATAGTAGTTCGCTGTGAAAAACACTTATCTGCCACTGAGATTAGTGTATGGTTGGTAGACGTGTGAAATGCAAGTATTGAGGGGCTGTTTTGTGCGGAGCACATGGAAGAAGTAGTATTACAGGTTTATGCACAGAGTAGTATTACTGGAAAAAGCAACAAAGTGTGCACTGCCTTGGCTCACTGCATGGTGTTTATATTATAAATATGATGGCAATTTGGACAACAATCAGATTTTGCACTTGCTGTTTCAAAGAGGATTTGATACTGTGTTAGAGTGAGAGGAAGGAATGATACTGCAGTTTGTCACAACTTGCTTGTTCTACCTCGGTGATTTTATGGAGGAATCCATTTTCCTGGAAGCTTCTATTATTGAAATTCAGGATTCCAAGGCAACAGATAGCTGCAGTGATGAATGCTTTTAAAAATGGGTATGTTCATAGCAGGTCTCTCGCTTTTACCACAAGGTGAACAAATATGATCTACCTGATATTGGTCAATATGCTGATATGATAACTGGTCTCCAGTACACATGGTATATACATGTCCGTGCTTCCTATTGAGGTAACGGGATGCCTTCGGAGGATAGCTGGATAGTAGCAAACACTTCATCTGAAGCAGCCATGACAGGAAGTAGGTAAGTCAGGACAGCAGATGATTGTGAATAGCAGAACATTCTTCACCAAGACAAAGAATGATGGTTAGTCAGTGAATGACCGCAGACATTGCTATCATAATACAGTCTGTTTCCTGACAAGCAGTCTTCCCCTCCATCACCCATCTGAATGTGGCGTGAATCTGTTTTCTTCTACAGGGTGAATTAGGTGACATCGGTCCCCCAGGCCCTCCCATCATTATTGACAGGGAAGGTGTAGTCATTTCAGGTACACGTTTCCATTTTGTTTTGGAACTCATCTGAAGCACCTTTTCTGGTCCAACGTTCCTTCTTACTATATTTTACCACTTTTCCAAATTGTGTATTGGGTCTAACCCATCCCTTGTTATTTTTCCTTTAATTTCTGTATTGTTGGCATGCATGTACGTTTGGTCCCATGTTTATAACTTCAGAGTTTACAATAAACCTTTCATCCCCACATTGCAGAATGATATGTTTCAAGGCAGAATGAAATTTAGTGCCTGGGAGGCTGACTGTGTGTGAGCATAGGGAAGTGCTGTGTGTCTACCTGTGTGTCTTTCTTCAGTGTACTAAGGAAAAACGGCTTCCTTGTGTTGCTCGGAAATGGGTACTCTGATGTCATTCTGCTATTATTTGTCATTCAATGTGGTAAGAATATTATTGAGAAAATGAGCTTAATTAATGCCACAGCTGAATGAGGCCTGGATGGGAACAGTCTCTGAAGCTATAAAAGTAAGGGGACAAATTTTATGATCTCTCCTATTCTGCCTCCTTCACATACAGTCAAGTTTGAAACAACCTCTAACAGGTCAGGAGGAGTTTTTCCCATTATTGTTAACTTTGACTAACAGGCTTATTGCTAACGGCTTTGCAACCTTTGCTGTCAATGAGATCAGTGGCCACCAGGGTAGTTGACTGAACAGAGTCTTTCAGCAGAAATTCTCATAAGATTTTCCTCCTTGTTTTTCTGTATTTGTCTAATAGGTGCCCCAGGTGACCCTGGAAACCCGGGAATATCTGGTCCTCCAGGAGATGAAGGGATCAGCGGTTTACCAGGCCTTCCAGGAGCTCCAGGGTTTCCAGGCCTGGAGAGAGGTAAAGCAGCTGCTAACAGTGTCCTTAGCATGCTGTTTTCTGTGTTCGTTGCTGAGAAGACTGGGTAGTAGATGGTGAAGGTATTGGAGCAAGCCTCTCCCTGCTCCTTCTGCTGGCTGATTTGCAGACTGCTGTATGAGACATAGGAGGCAGGGATGACACCCAGGGAAACCAAGTATGTTGACTTGGATGGGAGCAGAATTAGTCCCACAATGATTACAGCCCAGGTAAGTCTTCAGGCGTGAATATTTGGTGTAGCAGTTTACACAGGAGATTGGCTGTTTGATTTCCATTTTGAATGAGTTGATTGGCAGAACCTTTCCTACATTTTAAATAATAGCAAATGTTTTTGAAAATTTTTTTTTAATGACTTTTCATATTTGCAGTAGAGAGCTAACGGGCTGGCTAGATAAACCCGCTGTAGGTGGAACCCATTTGTCCCATCAAAGATCTCACTGAAATGTTCTGTTTCACTTGAATGTCATCTGTGAAGTCCTGGGCTGCAATGATCCAGAGACTAGGATCTACTAAAGAAATTATCTCACTCAAAGGAAATCAGAAAATAAATAAGCCGCAGTCTTACATAGTTAATTGTCTAACTGATCAGTGAGACTTAAACGTAGTCTGTGAAGTTTTTTGGATGACTGAAGGAGTGTGTAAATGGGAGCCAGTTGGTGGCTCTGATTACTAAGTTTTCCTTTGTGTGCAATTATAAATTGTTCGGTGCTAACATGGTTGCAGTTCAGGGCACAACAGTAATTTTCATAACATTAAAAATACTAGAATGTGTTTGCTGCTGGAGAGCTGCTCATTGTGTCATTGTTGTCTAGATGGAATGGGCCCTGGAGGGTCTCCAGGTATTCCAGGTGCGAAGGGTGAAGTGGGAGAACCAGGAAGAGGAGCGATTGGATTACCAGGCACTCGCGGCAGAGATGGTTTACCGGGTCTGCCAGGAGCACCAGGATTGCCTGGTTCACCAGGTATGTATATTTTTAACATCTATTTTTATATTGGATTCAGAGTGAAACAAGACAAATAATAATTTATGTACTTATTTCTTTGCCAGTGGGGATTATTCATCTGTAAATTTTAAATGTTTGGTTGACACCTCATTGTGATTGCAACTCACAAGCTTAAGTATGCATATCAGCAGCCACCTCTCTGAAGTAAGAAAATACGGCTAATTATTGTTAGAGCAGTAGCCTGAGAGACTGAAACACAAGGTTGTGTAGACACAATTTATGACACAGAGGACTTTGATGTTCTAGGCTCATCTCCTACTGGCTTAGATATAAAATAGACCATGACCTTATGAGCATCTGGGGTAAATGTCTATTCTTGTGAGTAGGTATTTTGGGTACCAGGAGTCAGATAGGATGCCTGAAGAGACAATTCTCAGACCTAAGGAAATAGGATTTTATTTTTACATGTTCATTTGTATGGATGCCCTGTTTGGATTAATTATGCGTAGTTTTGTTCTCCTCAGAAATTGAGTATTACATGAAAAGGGCTGATTTTACACAAACCTTGTGTTTTACCATTCTGCCATAAACTGAGGTCAAACAGTCTGTTTTCTTTTTGAGAGCCAACCTTTCAAAACAGGGCACACTCCAGTGATGGAGCCAATGAGCATGCTCTGATGAAATGATTTTCTGTGGAGAATAAATAAGTGCTCTCTTACCAATAACTGTTTGTTAGTCAAATCCGGCTCGTTTTTCTGCAGAGTCTGTAAAGCTCTTGTAGCTGTTTTTAGCTGATGGTTGCAGTTTGTTTCCATGGAACATCAGACGGGTGCTGGTCAGCACTCCGTCTTACTGTTGTCACTGAGGGGAAGGGTTTTCAGACACAGTAGTTTTAGATTATGTTAGATCACTTTCCACTGCTGTTTCTGTCAGCTAATGTTTCATTCTATTCAGCACATAAAGAGATGTAGAAAATAATCCTGCAGCTATAAAGTGAGGGACAGGGCAAGTCCCCTTAACCTTTTTGCCGTTCAGTCTCTTTCCTGAGCTGCAGCATCTTAATGAGAAGTTGAGGAGCTCTGCAGAAGGCAGGTAGCCCTGGGGATGACTCTGCCATGCCAGCAGCAGCAGAGACACCACTTATATATGATAGCTTCTGTCCAACAAAAAGGGCAATAGCCAGTCATCGCAATCACCAATACATTGATTTGACCCTTCAACTTCTATCCATATGAGTCTCAGCTTCTCCCAGAGCTGTAAAGGTACATCTGCCACGAACAAAGTCATTTGCCCTTCTTTAAACAACCTGTTCACAGTTTGGTTAGTTCTTCGGCCAACTGTTAAGTCTTTGAAAAAAGTATAATGGTAGAACAGAAGAGGAATGAAACTCTGTTGCATCCACATTGTGAGAGCTTTTGCTTTTCTGTATGAGAAGCTAGAAGCAAACATATGGCAGAGGAGTGCAGCCTGTGATACCAACCAAGTTGTATCTCCTTGTGTAACTTCCACAGTTGCAGTTTGATCCAGTGCCATTTCTGTCAGTTGCATAACTGACATTGTAAGTAATTAATGAGCTGGAAATCTAGCCTTCTCATGGCTTTTGCTTGCCTTCTTTCTGCATATAGGCCCTTCATTCCCCCCAGACACGATCCTGGATGGAAGGACTGGGGCCCCAGGGGAGCCTGGACAAAGAGGGCTGCCAGGAGCTTTGGGTCCAAAGGGGTACAAAGGTAATTGACTCTTGTTTGGGGGGGGCCTTTTAGCAGTCATTGGGCCTCAGAAAGATATTTACACGTGGTAGTATCCTAAGATATGAGGTGGAAGTGTCTTTATGACAAATCACAGGAGGTTGAGATGGATTAAAGGAGCCAACAGCCTTTGCAGTTTAGAGAGAGTTGTGCCCAGCACTGCCAGCAAAATCCTATTTCCTACTTCCTACTCTGCTCAGGCAAATAAGCAGATAAACATCTCATACCCAGAAAATTAGCTACGTAAGTTATACTTTAAAGCCATAAGACGTAGTGAGAGTTAGAAATAAAATCTTGTTCACTGCTTTTTGCAATATAGGCTGGAAAGAACAGAGAAACTTAATTTTATTTTCCTCTGTGCTAAAAATGATGAGGATTTGGGTCTTAGTTTGTGACAGAACCAGCGGCAAAAGCCATGATGATGCAGACATCACTGTGCTTTGTGAGTGTTTGGATCCATGGCCAGTTATGATTCTGGGAAATATAAAGATATCCAGCTGAGGGTCATTGTAACATACTGTGAGTGGGAGTATGAATTTGCTTTCTCTGACATATAACTATCTCTTTAAAAAAACACAAGACTTCTGTCCTAAAACTCTCCTAAAACCATCTGTATAGGAGAGTCTTAAATGTTTGGGAAGAGGTCAAGAAGTGCTGAGGTTCATCTGCACATGGTAATTTGGTGATGGGCATTGCATAGAGATTAACCTGAACAGAACCTGAGCTCCGCTTGCTTGACATTCACATCACCTGAGCATAGTAGGCCCAAAATCAAATCATATGAGAATGGCTTTGTCCTGATTTAATCAAATACTGCTTTTTGAGCTCTTGCAACTGAAAAGGGTCTTTATCCAAATGAAACTGAGTTTGGAGTGTTGACTGTATTTTCCAGGAGAGGCAGGTGATTGTGCTTGTGATGGAGGAGTTACAAGAGCTGGTCTAAAAGGCATCTCAGGTCCACCAGGTCCATCGGGAAGCCCTGGTGTGCCTGGGATTAAGGGCATTGGTGGAGACCCAGGCACTGTGGGCGCACCAGGACTGCGAGGCCCTCCGGTAAGGCAGGAAGAGTTTATATTGGTTGTCATGAATTAAAGGAGAAAAAAGTGCCCATGTGCAATTGCTGGTGCTGATTGTAGTGAAAGCAGAACACATTTTTTTGCATAATTTCTTCTACTTGTTTGGATTTAAAAAGAAACAAAGCAACCCAGAAACTGATCTGTGAAAAGAAGCTGAAAGTAGAGAAATTATCACCTATAAAAAATGGGAGAAGAAATGGTTCTTAAGTTCTGAGAACTGTACATTTAGCAGTCGAGAGAAAAACAGTAACAATTATTCATCCCAGGGCTTCTTGGCCGTAAGCATACATGGATTAGACCCAGGGTTCTTCCTAAGTGAGGGCTGGCTGGGGAAGCAGATATGCAGATATACATCTGCATCAAGACCTGAAAAATTGAATGGTGAGATCTTTCCACATCATTGCTCATAGCTGTAAAAACTGTGTGCCTTAGATGCAGTCTCCTCCTCCGCTGCTGTATGCTAAATACATTAGTGAGAGTGTTTTTTTATGAAAGGGCAACGATAACAAACAGGATTTTCCAAAGTGCAGAGCATTGCTCATTGGCAGTATTTACTTTTGAAAATTGTAGTCCATAAAGACACCAGTCTTTTGTCTTCAGAGTATGTTTATCAGTGTCAGTAAATGCAGCACACGAAGTAATAGGGAAGAAGATTCAATACTTGGGCACCGTTATATCATGAGTGGTGTAATGTTCCCAGATGCCATCCAAGATTGCTCTCTCTATGGTGCTATATACCAGGGTTTGGCTTGCCACTGTAAAGCTGTAGTGACTTGATTGAAACACTTGGAAATAATCAAACCTCCTCTTTTTAATTTTTTTTAGTGTAATGTATACAATAGGAAACCCTTTGGTGATTCTAGCTCCCGTCATTGTGTCCTGTCCTCATATGACATTTTTAAGAAGCAAAGCCTTTTCTATCCGTGTTCATATTCCTGTTTTTTTCTTTTGGTCTGTAGGCTTTGGCTGGTCAGCAAGGTCTTCCAGGCCTTAAGGGAGAAAAAGGGGATTCATCCTATGCTACAGGCAGAGGTGCTCGTGGGGACCGTGGTGCGACAGCACCCAGAGGACCTTCAGGCATCCCGGGAACCCCTGGCAGGGATGGACTTCCAGGCTTGCCAGGCCCACCAGGCCCTCCAGTAAGTTCAGATTAATTTAGCAGCAGTGCTTCAGAATTGGAACAAGGAGCAGAGACAATAGAAAGGCCTGGTTTACTAGTCCTGATTAGCCCTGTGGTAAGTCTCCAAATACATAAAAAGCTCGCAGTCCCTGAACACAAATTTGACTTGGTCAGGATTAATAATTGGCACTCATTATGCCTCTGGCTACCCAGTCAAAAGATAAACTTCCAGCAGTGGGGTAGAGCCTTATGTTGTTTTATGTTGTGTCCTAAAAGATAAAAGACACTGTAGGCATAATTATGAGTCAAATCTTGGAATAGAAAAATCACACCAGAATCTTTTTAATTAAAACAAAAGTAAGTGTCTTTCAGAATATGTCATATTTACATTTTGGCAAATACAACATAAAATATTATTTTTAATAGTCACTGAGTTTTCCTGCATTTTGAAATAATGATGGATAATTTACAGTGGTTTCCATGTACCTTCCTAGGCCCATCTAAACCTTGCGCAGAACTGACCAAACTTATGCATTTGTTAAAATGCTAGTGGTGTATATTCTTTGATTTTCAGCTGTAATTGTCTTTGCTGTGCACAGGGTGATGGTGGGCTAGGTTTCCCAGGTGAAAAAGGACTGCCAGGATTACCTGGCTCCAAGGGCCATCGTGGAGAAACTGGTTCTCCTGGCATTGGATATCCAGGTCCTAGTGGAGTTCGTGGGCCATCAGGTGACCCAGGAATGGATGGGTTTCCAGGGCAAGCAGGTCTTCCAGGCCCTCCAGGTAGGTGTTGCTGGGTCTACTCTTATTTTGAAAAGGCGCAAAGCTGCTACAAGTCCAATGGCACTCAACTTACTGCTGTGCTTGTAGCCAGGCCAGAAGATTGCATTAGATTAAAGATTGCTCTTTAAATTAATTGAAACTGGTTTGTGGGCTCACCAGACCTTACACAGCAGTCACAGCTTTCTCAAGCTGTCATGCTCAGGAGGACACAGATAATAAGCAACAAATACTCAAATAGTACTCAAATAGTAAGAGTGTTGGATGGAGCCACTCACTGACTACTGCTGGAGAACCATTTTACACCAAAGGTAGTTAGGAAGATTGATAAAATGAGGTTTTTAAAAGGCGCAGCCTACTTCATTGTCCAGGTAAAAATAATAGCTCACTGGTATTGGAGACTTTTGAATCATTTTCCAGAACTATTACTGTTATTGAAATAAGAAGAGTTCCAGATATTTTTTAAAAGAAGAAAGTGTAGTACATTGAATGTACAAACAGCCTTTGGTGAATAAGACATTGTCATGACAGTCAGGTAGGGAGTTCAACTATGATTGGTGCAACCAGCTCTGGGCTGTTTGCTTCCTGAAGTACTACAGTTTGGCTCAGCTGGTATGTCATTATATGTACCTAAAGCATACCATAATGACAAGTAATAAAGTCAGTAAATACAGGTTTGATAGTGTTTCATGTATGATGTTTTATGTTCATTCTCAGAGTTCCAAGTGAGTTACGTGGAAAGTCATATGTCTAAACATTTATGGAAAATGTTTTCATAACAAAATGACTACAGAGAGCTAGTCCCAATGTCTTGATTCCATGTCAGCCATTTAAATATAATTTAAGATAAACAGTATTTTTTCTTTGCCGCTGCTGATTTTCAGTGTATCTTCCATTCTGTGTGTGCTTAGGCTTCTAGGTTTGTAATTCTGTCAGTATCAATAATGCAGAATCAATAATACATTTGCAGGCATAATATTGTTGCATAGGTTTCTGAACTGATAAACTGATGTTCTGAGTTCAAAAACCTTGGCGGTAAGACCACTGCAGTATGAGGAGTTGGCAGAGGAATCTTAAACCCAGAGGGAGGTGAGAGATGGGCCAGAATAGCACTGGGAAGGTTGCACGGACATGCCGGGTGGCATGTTACCTCACGTCAGTGTCATGCTGGGTTGTTGTTACGGGGTGAGGAGACAGCTAGCTTAATGTCCCCCTGGAACAGCCTGCATAAGCTTTTTTTCCAATTCAAGTCACATGCTAAATGCTAAAAGCTTTACTAATTCATAGCTATGAATGCTTACATCTTTGTTTGGTAAATTGTCTCTTACAAAATCCACTAAATTAAAATTGCATTGTAAGATAAGTAAAAGTAAAATGCTCTGTACATGATGTGAACTCTAGATATTCTGTGGAGCACATCAGAAGCCAGCTTATTATGAACGCTACATCAAAGCTTTGCTAACAATGAATGGTCCTTTGTAGAAGAGATCTATAGTCAAAATATGTGGGAAAGTGCGAATAAGTCATTAGCCAGTTCAGTTCGTGCCTCCACAGAGATGTGTAAGAAGACTTGTGAATGCATCATTCCCTCCATACTAGGAAATAATTTACATACATTAAAAGACCCTTTGATATAG